CCTTTAACTGCACCAGCAATTGGTGCTGGATGCCAGGTAATGAAGAGCTGGGCCCTGGTGACTCTCCTATTACCCAAAATAGTGGTAGGATCCCATTGAAGTGTCTTATAATTGGGCTGCCTGACTCCTCCATATCACCTTCCTTCCCAACTTTTACATAACCAGAGGACTCCAGCAGAAAGGGAACAGGACTTTTAAGAAATAAAATGACCAAGAAATGGAGGGGGGTCAAGGAGGGAATCTTGCCTTTGAGTTTCTTGCCACCCTCAGCCCAAAACAAAGGATACTTCTGAATATCTATGACATACTTTCTTTTTATATTTTAACTTTACTTCAAATATGAGGTTTTATATACAGAAGGGAGGGTGGTTGCATGAGGAAGCCGAAGTGAGGCACAATACTAGTGGGTCTGGGGCCCAGTGCACACAGCTGTACTATGAAGGAATTGGGGGGGCTCTGGGAGGACCTAGTGAGAACAGTGGTTTGGGGGGGAATTCACATAGGAAACTTTCATTTCCTCCCCAAGTTAGTTATTCAAAAGGTCGATCATTTGGTCTGTTTAGCAGTCACTGCTCTTTGGCAGCATCAACAAAAGAAGCGTCAAGGCTGGGGACACAGAGAAAACTATCAGTCCCTTTTGTTTCTCTTTATGCCTGGATGGGGAAGGGGATGGATGGAAACTAGTAGCAGAAAATGAAATATTTATGCTGTTATCCCTTGCTATGAAAAATCATGGGTCTGTATAGAGACCTGTTTCTTAGTCTGGGAATCGGATGTGGCCAAGAGGCCTGGGTTTAAGTTCTATTTTGAGCTGCACAAATTCTCTGACCCTGCTGGAGTCATTTCTCATTTCTGGATTGTGTCCTCATCTGTAGAGGAGCCTAGACCCAATAATCTCTAAAGACAAGCTTTTTCAGGTCTCTGATTCTATGACTTGTGAACTGCAAGAATCCAAATGAGCTCCAGAAAAACACAGGAGTTTAGAAGTAAGAGGATGTGGGAATTAGATTGGAAAATTGAAGAGTTAAGGTTTGTAACAAAGAAAAAGGATGAGCTGCATTCATAAAGAAAAACAAAAGAACAGAAGAAAGTCAGGCTATGGAACAGGTAAGTGTAGGAAGACATCCGAGGTCTGGATGACAGGAAAGAGCAAGAGTTCCTTCTGTGCTGCCTCAAGGACCCAAGCCCCTGACCATGGTAGTGTTTTCTCTTACAGCACTTCCCAGGCCATGGCTATGTTATACCCCAAATTGCTCCTATTCATACAGTCATCAGCCTTTAGAAGTTTACAGTTTACACCAAAATGCGTAACACATAATAGGACCCCTAAAGATTCTGCCAAACTCTTGGTGTTTCCTGGGTCAGATGCGACTCAACCATTTGGGAGAAACCAGTGATTGCAGTTGTCTAGGTGTACTTTGCTTTCTGGGGCTGTAAGAAATATGGATGGAAATTTTGCAGAGAGTAATGCAGGAAGGAAAGGGCATATTGCCTAATCTTGGTTGATTTGCAGATGGTGGGGTGTGCGGTGGTGCTGCACCTGCTCAGCCCAAGGTGAGGAAAAACCAGGGGCCGGGGGGAAATCTCAGTGCTCATGTCGTGGGAGAGAAGTGCACACCAAAAGCATCAGGGCAAAGAATCCCTCCTGAGAATCTCAAAAGGACCAGGCACACAAAAGCCATTCAAGAAATACTAGTTTATTCCCTATTTTACAAGGCTTCGTGGCACTGCTAGTTTGTAAGCCCAGGTTCAAAGAGGGAGGCACCCAGTATTTGTGTGTGTAAGAAGGCAGCTCAGCCCAGGCTAAGGGGGAACTATCGGCTTACCCCCAGGCCCTGAGGCAGCTCAACATGGCAAGAACCAGAAGACTCAGGTGTTGTTCTATAAAGCTGAGAATGGGGATATGGGTGAGAATAGGGATATGGTATTTCTTACACAGAAAGAGCTCAGGGAACAGGATTATCCTTAGTTCTCTGCCCCCAATCAGAGTTTGCATTTACCCCTTCAGTATTATTAGGTCTCCCAGAGAGGGCCCGAGCACAGACCATCCAGCAGTTGTCCTAGTCAGGAACCTTTCTAGTGGAAACATTAGAGAACTTGCCTGTTCAAGACTAGTGCAGAAAGGGGTGGGAGGTGGCACACCAACAGGTATAGAGGGTTGGAAAGGGCTGGGAGAGAATCCCAATGTATGGAAAGGCTAGAGTTTTAATAGGTTCCCAAGTTTTCTAGAAGGCAAGGTGGGGTGGTCCCTTGCTGATCCTACAGGGCTGGGACATTGGCGCAGGAGACAACAGCAAGCTCCCACAAGGAACAGATGAAGCCTGGGGCCCCTTGCCTTCTCCAGACCAGTTCGGGAGACTGGGACGATGAGAAGGCAGAGCAGTCAGAAACTATGAGAAATGATATATTGCAAGATTTTAAATTTCATTTTTAAAGGGAAAAAAATACAACATCATGGTTATGTGAGGCTCAGGAGATTTCCTGGGTTCATTATCCTAGTTCTGCCATTTACTAGCTATGTGATCTTGAACAAATAACTGAGCTTCTCTGAGCCTGTTTCCTCATCTCTAAAACAGAGATAATGATCATGTTCAACTCAGGGTTGTCTTGAGCATGCATGCAAGACGGATTTTAGCAGATAAGTGTTAAGTAAATGTGAGCTATCACTATTGTTAATATGACACAACAGTAATACATACATATTAGGTGAGAGATTATTACACACTGAGCATCTACCCGGTCTCCCTATTATCCTCCCTTGGGCTCCTAATTGATGAATAAACAGTGTATTGCTTGGTGGCTTCCAGTACAATTTCTCTCTTCACTTTGCTGGAACTTTGACCTGAAGGTGATCCACAAGATGCATGAAATTCTTCCTGTTTTCTTCACAAGGTAAGGATGATGTTTAAATGGGCATTTGTTTGAGGAATGACCTGGGGGCTCCTCTCCTTCCATCTTCAAAGGATTAAGGCTGTGGACAGGAGGGGCATGGTAACAAGCCCCACTTGTTCTGAATGCATGTGTGGGCACATGTGTATGCCCCACCTCTTTCACTTAGGAAGGGGGGATCCAGAAATTTTTCTCTGAGAAATCATTAACAGAAACGGGTTTGGGAAGCTGGTTACCTGGGAGCTCCTTGTTCATCTGTAGCATCAGGAACTGCTTCTTTTCCTTCTTCTTCCTTCTAGAAGATCATCAAGAAGAAGCCTGAGGGAGGAAGGTGGAGCAACCATGGTCTTGGAGAAAAAGAAGTAGGTTCTCCACTCCTTCTGGAGGGAGAAGGAATAGCAGAGATCAAGGATGAAGAGGGAGGCAAATGGAAGTAGACAAAATGAAGGTAAATACCCTATGTATTAAAAGGAAAAGTGATGAGAGGGGAGAAGGACAAGGGAAGAGAGAGAAAAGCAAAGAAGTTAGGAATAGGGTGAGAGAAAAGGAACAAGCAGCCAGCAAAGGAACGGTTCCCATGTTCAGTTAACCAGGAGGAGACATAGGCATGAATGTGAATGGGTGGAAGACGCCAGCTTTCCCATTTCACTTGCTAAGGGCATGGTGCAGACTGCCATCTTCTGGTGCATTTAATATTCAAGTTGCTTTGATTCTTGATTTGGAATGATTTCTATTCCTTATGCCCATCATTTTTCATCCTCAAGAGAGCCCTCAACATTGTTTCCTTTCATCTTTGGAGCTCTCACACATAATTTTCCCCAACACTCTGAGACACTTCCCCAAAGTTGTCTCAGAGCACCGAGGCTGGAAGTCTGTGGGGGCAACAGCAAAAAGGGGAAGAGGATGAACTGTGGTTTGGAAGAGGCTCTGGAATACCCTGGGGCTGCAGGCTGCTTATAGGATGCTTCCTGGGCCCTGGAACATCTGTTCCAAAAACTAGAGGGCCCATCCTCAGCCCTAACCAGACACTCAGGGTGCTGTGAGTTCTGAACTGTAGCACTAGTGTGGCTTCTAATCTGCACTCTACCAAGCACAGGTCATAAAATGTCAAACAAGAAGGAGCCTTAAGAGATCATCTAACCCAAATACTATATTCCAAGGGAAAAACCGGGGCACAAAGAAGTGAAGTAGCTTGCCCAAAGTTTTACAGCTAGTCAGTGACTTCCTTTTCTTCTGAGGCAGAAAGAAAAAATTGGAATAGTGATTCTCGTGGTTCACCGTCCTTTAACAAACACAGTCCATAAAGTGCTTAGAGGTTATTAAAAGGCACCCCAGAAAGGTAAGGCTGGAATTTTTCTGGAAGCCCCTGAGTGTACCAACCGCTTAGACACCTCATTATTTGGCTACGAGGACAGCCCTGGAGTTGCTTTACCTCCATTTTAATCCCTAAGGCTGCCTGGAAGCTGGAGCAAGGATCTCTGACTGCTGTCATCACTTGCCAGCCAGTCTATGGAGACTGAAGCTAGGAACTGTCAGGGGTGACAAGGGAATCCTGTCATAATGCCAAGGTCCGGGGCAATGGTCAAGCTCCTGGGATTTAGCAAGGCAATTATGGCTGAGTTAAAGCTAGGATGGGCAGGAATGGGGGGATCTCAGGTGGCAAAGGCAGGTAAGAAGAGGGAATAAGCTAGCAATCAAAATAACTTCAGCTGGGGTGGGCTACTTCACATAATACCTCAAGTCCAAAAAGGTTCCTTTGCCGTCAACTGCCTAGGCCAGATTGGCCTACTCACTTAAAAGAAACTCACCATCTTCCCCATTTTTCTAGTCCCTGCAGCGCCCTTTTGGGTCTCCTTTCTCCGCTATGCCTTGGGTTCCTTCCACTCACATCCAACCAGCGTTTTCCACCCCAATGTACCCGAGCTTCGTTGATTCCGCCCAACCCCCGCACGCCCCTTTGATTTCTCCCATCCTCCTCGTCCTCCCCGACTTGACTGTCTCTGACGGCTTCCCGCCAATCTTGGTTTCTCCCATTCCTCCCCGCCACATCGGGTTCCCCTCGCCCCCGGGTGCCTTTGGTTTTTTCCGCTGTGGGCCGCAGGCGCCTGGTCTCAGATAAAGTGGATCCAGCCCTGGGGCTCCGGGGCTCCGCCACTGCCCGGGTGCTCGGGCCCACGTAGAGCATAGTCACGGCCGCCGTTGTCCCAGAACTCGCGACCCGTCACACGGTAGCGCAAGGCGAAGAGCAGGGCGCCCCCAATGGGCGGCGCGGGCAGGCGGAAGGCGAAGCGGTCGGCGCGCGGCGGGGGCGGGGCCGGGCCGGCGTAGGCGGCGGGCGCCTCGCGTTGGCTCCGCCAGCCGTCGGCGCTCCAGCGCACGCTCACGCGCTTCTCGTAGGCCAGGTCCAGCACGCGCGCGCTCCCGGCCACGCCCAGCGGGCCCGCCTCGGCGCGTTCCAGGCAGATTCGCTGCGCCTGCAAGCGGGCGGCGAAGCCGGGCTCGCTGGCCGGTTCCAGGGCGGCGCGCGCCTCCTGGGGGAAAGAGAAAAGGAGGAGACAGGAGCCCAGGGCGAAGAGGGGGAGGGGCAGGGGGCGGGTCAGAACGAGGCACTGGACCAATCAGAGGCCGACCCCGGCGTCCGGGCCGGCGGAGCGGGGCTCAGCTGCAGGGGTGCCCCAGAGCCACAGGCCAATGGGGCCCCCGAGGGGATGAGCAAGTCCAAGCCCAGGGATGGAGATGGAGATGGAGATGGGTGTTCCTTGACTAAGCCACGCCCGCCGCGGCCGGCTGGGGGAGGTTCCCAGGAGGGGGCGTGCCCCTGCCGCCTACCTGGAGGCCGCGGGCTCGGGGCTGGCACGGCGCGAAGTGGCGGAGGGCGTCCCTCTGCAGTTGGACCTGCACGTGGCGGGGCACCCGGGGCAGCTCTCCCGGGCGGAAGCGGCGCACGGCGGCCAGCTCCAGCCCCAGCGCGTCGGCGAAACGCACTCTCTTGCGGGTGTCCGGACTACGGCTGCGGGGCGCCCGGGGCCCGCCTCCTCCAGCGGGCGCAGAGCGGGCCCGGCGACCCCGACTTGGAGCGTGAGCGCGGGATCGGGCCCCGAGCCGCGTCCCGCCCTCGCCTTGCTCCTCCTCCGGCTCCTCCTCGAGGCTGGGCCGCTGGCTGCGGTAGTAGGCGCGCTCTGTCAGCGCAGCGATAAAGCTCAGGTTGCGAGGGATGTCAGTGCGGGGAGGCCGCTCGCGGGACATGGTACCCCCGCACCGGCGGGGCCAGCCCGAAGCGCCACGGCGCTGCCCTCCCTTCCTCTCTCCCGCCCGCCCCGCGTCGGTGCAGAAGTCGCAGGGCCCGCTTCAGCAGCCCCTAGCCCTTGCGTACTCTCCTTGCTGTCACCTCCAGGATCCTCCACCGCCGGTCGCTCTGCTTCGCCTCAGTGACCACTTTCCCTCCCTCTGGCGGTCAGCTCCTAGGGTCTTCAGACCATCACATCCTGCCTGCTGCGAGTGTCTGCTCTGAGCGTGCGCTTAACGGCGCTCACCCTCGGGTTCCGCGGTCCTCATGGCCCTGGCCCCCGCCCACAGCCCTGTGACAGGTGGCTCCGCATCTGTCTTTGCTGCTGCACCAGGGGGCGGGGACTCCACTTCTTCAGTCCCGACTGAGGCCACTCAGCCTTTTTTCAAAAAGTCCTCAACTTCATCCACACGGCACGGGAAGGGTTAACGCAGGAAGGAAAGAATAACCTTTCCTTTTCTTGCTGGGGAAGGTTCAAAACACCCAGCATGTGACTTTATCTAAAGGGCTCACCATTTTCTTTCTTAAACTTGGCTCCAGATTAGGGAGGGGGTAGCGGTGGGTGCAAAGAAGGAAAGGTCATGAAAGCTGGGTGGAGTCTCTGAAAGAGAGGGGGAGATGTGGCACTCAAAGGGGGCAGGGGGCAGGGGGCCGGGGTGGCTGAACACTGCCCATTGGAAAGAGTCCAGAACTGAGAACTGTGGAAAAACCTAGCTTCTAGACCCACCTCTGGTGCTATTTAGCTGTATGACCTGGAGCAAGGAACAACTTCTTTGGACCTTAGTTCTCTTATCTGTAAAAAGTGGGTTAAGCCAGGCACTGTGGCTCAGGCCTGTACTTCCAGCACTTTGAGAGGCCAAGGCCGGAGGTTCCAGGAGTCAGAGAACAGCCTGAGCAAGATCAAGACACCATCTCTACAAAAAATAGAAAAATTAGGCGTGGTGGCAGGTGCCTGTAGTCACAGTTACTTGGGAGGCTGAGGCAGGAGGATCGCTTGAGCCCGGGAGTTAAAGGCTGCAGTGAGCTATGATGATGCCACTGCACTCTAGCCCAGGTGACAGAGTGAGACTCTGCCTCAAAAAAAAGAAGTGAGTTAGAGTTCTGGTTTCTAATCCAACTGTAAGCCTTTTGAGGGCAGGGGCTGTGAGCTAGGACTGTGAACTTTCAAGAAGGGCAAAGAGCTGGCTTTTTGCCCATTCGTTTTTTTCTGCATTAGTAAAAAAAAGGTTTTTAGTTTTTTCGAACTTTCCTACTGATCATATATAGCACTTACAATGTGCTAGGTACCATTGTAAGAGTTTTACAAATATTAACTCATGTAATACAACCATCATAGGAATAGGGAGTTTTATTATGCCTGTTTAACATAGGAGAAAATCTACAGAGGGGATAGGACTCTTGCCCAGGGTCACATAGTTAATGATTGGGGAGCTGGGATTAGGACCTCAGCAAGTCCAGCACTAGAGTCCACCCTCTTATCCCCTTGGTTACATAAGATTAAAACGTTTAATGATAATTGTTAACATCTTCAGAGAATTAAAATAGGGAGAAATGAAATCTCTGAATCTAAAGCATCAGGATAGTTTAATCGTTAAATAGCAAGTGACTTAAATTGGAAATAAACTGTGACACATATATTAACACTATTTTATTATTGCACAATTCATTCTTGTTTGCATCACACTAGTATTAACCATAGCAATGCTGTTTAGCCAGGACTCATTTTTAAAGCAATATTTTTATTTTCTTATTTTAAACATATATATAAAATCCATGGACATATTCTCTTCCTATCTTAGGGTGTAAAATAATCACACATTAATTTATGTTACAGTCAGGAAGTTTAAAACAGTATTCTTTGCTCTGGTAAATTATGAATTACTCACTGAATTACCTATTGGATACAATGTATACTATTCAGGTGACTGGTACACTAAAAGCCCAGATTTCACCACTATACAGTTCATCTATGTAACAAAAAACCATTTGCACCCCCTAAATCTACTGAAATTTTTTTAAAAAGCCAAGAAGAAAAAAAAAACATGTATCACTGAAATAAAACACATGAGGTTCAAGACCAGCCTATATGGCCACAGGCTTTCTGGCAAAGGCTCTGTTGCCTTGTCCACAGGCTGAGTTGCCATCCTTAGGCTCTGGGGTGTTGGTCTGAGAAGATCCTTGAGGTACGTAGCTTCGAACCAGGTATAAGTCACGTTGGTCCAGTGGCTCTGTTTGCCTGGGTGCTCGGACTGACACTGAACGTTTATTCCAAATCAGTTTTTATTTCTTAAACAGCTGCTGTAGTAATCTTCAAACGTCTAGCTGGGACTGCTCAATAACTGGCCAGAGGCATTGATTGATTGATTCAATCAACATTTGCTGAGGGCCTATTAGGCTATGAGGACACCAAAGTGAGTACAACTCAGTTCCTGCTCTTAAGGAACTTATAAATAAATGGGCAGACAGAAATATTAATATATGTGGGTCTTCTAAGACATTTACTTGGAATATGTTTTTTTATTTCAAGTAAATGTCTTAGAAGAAACCAGGATTGCAAATAAAGGCCTTTAGAGAACTTTATTCTCTAAAGAAAGTGGCAGCCTTGCTGATGGCAGCTGGAATGATCAGCCTAAGGGCAAAGAAGAAATGAGGATGGTTGAAAGGATATAGCCATTAAGGAGTGGAATAGGCTGTGTTTAGAGGAGAGAACTGAATGTGTACTTGTAAATGGTGTAGATTCAGACTGTGAGAACAACATTGACTACTTGAAGGGGAGAGGTGATCTTGAAGCAAGAGTGTCAAAGTTAAGACAAACTTTCAGGTCAGATAGAAGGAGATGGGAGCCCCAGCTTCTTATCAGTATATGGCTTTGGGCAAATTACTTAACCTCTCCAAACCTCAGTATACTCTTAAAGAAAGCACTTAGCACCTAGTAAGCCCTCAAAACGTGTTAGCTGTTACTATTATTGTTGTAGGGAAAACCTTGCTTCTCTAGTGACCATAAGGGCAAATGGGAATGCCAAGGCTTGGATTGGAGATAGAAGCAAAGGGAACCAGCAGGAAAGGAGGAGAATTCGGTTGCCTCTTTCTGTCCTTTGGAGCTCTCTCAATAGAGCTGAAGGAAGTGCCAGCTCCAAGAGCCCAGGGGCGTGCCCAGTCAGATATGCCTGTGCGTGCCCTCATGTGCATCCACTGTGGTCAGACTGTGAACTGCCCTGTATGAATATACTGCCATTTATGAATAATAGAGATATGAATGTAATCTGGAAAGACAAACATCAACCTTAACATTGGCAAGCTACAGGGAGGGAGGTGGAATTGGGCGTGTGTGTGTGTGTGTATTTGAAAACTTGTATTTTATTACTGTGTGCCTCTTTTTTTTTACCAGTCACTGACTCGAAGGCCATGAACCTCTATATTGTTTGATTTTTTTCATAAAGAGAATGAATTCATATGTTGGGTAAAAAAATTAAAATAAAATCAATCTGATTACAAAAGAAGAAGAGGAGGAGGAGGAGAGGGAGGGCGGAGGAAGAAGAAGAGGAGGCAGAAAAGTACCTGCAAAAACTGCTTGTGATCGAAGTCCTGGTTCCCTGATGCCTGGCTGAAGTCCTAGCCCACAAAGAAGCCACTGGATTAAAGGTCTTAGGGAAAAGAGAATGGAAAGGTTTAGTGTCCGTGTGGTGTCTGTTAGTCCCACAATGGTAAGGCACCTGGCAGACAGTTCCCAGTGTCATGGGAGCTACTCCTCTTTTCCAGGCACACAAGCCAGAGCTGGAAAAGTTCAACAAGTGCATGGAACATCAGAGACCTTCCAGAAATGCCGAATTTGCTCCTAGATGTCCTGAGGGCCAGTGCTCTTCTCTGGGCAGCCTCGAGGCTCAGGAGCCACGGTGCCCTCTCAGTCCAGCCCTGCTTTGCCTTCGGCAGCCCTCTCTGTTCCCGAGTTGTGGCCCTTCCCAGGCCTGAGTCCCAGCCCCGCCCCTCTCTCTGGACGCATCTCTGGGCCCCATCATCACCCGGCGCCGGGCCCTCCCTCTTGCCCCCCCCTTCTCCTCCCTCCTTCCTTCCCTCCCTTCCTCCCTCTCTCCCTCCCTCCCAGCTCCTGCACCAGGAAACAGCCCGGATCCCGGCAGCGGCCTGACCCGTGAGATCCCTAACCTGGCAGGCGGGCGGGGTTGGAGACAGGCTGAGGTCGGGGGTAAGGGAGGAGCTGGGCCTTTGGGCTGTACTGGGGGGAGCTGGGAGCAGAGATGGTGTGGCAGGAAGCCCTTGGCCCTGGGTTTCCCGGGAGGACAGTCATTAAACATGGATTCGGCCACACAGCTGGTAGAGCGTTGGGGGCAGGGACCCAGGCCCAGGAGCTGCAACCCCAGCCCTTCTCAGGGCAGACCCTGATCCCTGGGCTTCCCCGCCTAGTTCTGATCTCCTCCTCCCCTTCCCAGGGCTCCAGGCTGGCCGGGAGGATGAAAGGCCCCAGCTGGGGGCTCCTTGCCACCAGTGCTGGGTCCTAAGAGCTGCCATCCAGGCTGGGTGAGTGACCCCTTCCTTTCCCTGTCCCAGGCAACCCTTTGCTTCTCCCACCTTTCTCTTCAGTCCCTGTCACCTCCCCATCTTGTGCCTCTGCCAACATCTTCACATCTTGCTTCTAGGGAGGTCCTAAGCCCCTTCCTCTAGCCAAGAAGGTGTGGACTGTGGTGGGGGTGGGGTGCATAGGGGTGTTGTAGAGCTGATGTTGTCTTATTATAAAAAGGACCTAAAGTATTTTAAACATAAAATCTACTTGTTTTACATTTAATTTAGCATATTACAAATTTAATGGCCAGACCCTCATGTCCTGCCCCAACACCATGACTTAATTCCCTTGTTCTTGCCCCTTCCTGCCCAGTGATCTCAGGGATTTCCTCCCCTCTCCCTATCTCCCTGGGTTAGACAAACCGGAAATGCCCCTTCCTGTGTCTCTGTCCATATACTATTCATGCATTTATGCCAGTCTTTCATCCTTGCCTCTTACAGCCGCCCGGATGGCGACCCCAGCCTCAGCCCCAGACACACGGGCTCTGGTGGCAGACTTTGTAGGCTATAAGCTGAGGCAGAAGGGTTATGTCTGTGGAGCTGGCCCGGGGGAGGGCCCAGCAGCTG